GTGTGCTTTCAAGTCATTTCAGACTTAGGTTAACCCTGAGTGAGGGCTGGGTAAATGACCTTGAAGGGCCGTATCTGGCCCCCGGGCCCTAGTTTGAGGACCCCTGCCATAGAGGATTATTTGAAATGAACCCAATATATATGAGGGTTTGGCAGCTAGAAAGACTGCTTGAATTGTGTGATCAGTTTGTTACACCAGGGAACTTCAAAAGAAGTGATACAGCAATTATAATAGTTAAACATGTTCTTGTACAAGCATGCATTTCCCAGGTGAACTGGGACTAAGATGGAATGCATTACAGCAGAAAGTAATTTAAAAATGGCACATTGCTGCTTAATAATGCTGATATTATTCTGATATTAGCCAAGAGTGCTTTTTATTGATGTGAAATCAATATAGTGCCCTGCAAAATTGTTGAAGGGCCAAACAAACCAATAAACCATCTATAAAGCTTAAGGAGGACAAAACTTTGACTGGGAAGACTTAGTCAAGTCATAATGCCACTGTATTGCAATTTGACCACTCCGGTTTCGTAACATTGGCTGCTGGTTGCAAAAGTGATAGCTTGCACAACCGTACAGTGTCACAAAACTAAACATCTTTACATTGCTCTTGGTGTCATTTGTAACATGTAGTTCCAGTTTTGGAGCTCTGCGTCAATACTGCTCAATTGTAGCAATTCAGTGCCATTTTAACAGTCCCGATTCATCCTATGGAATTCTTGGGTTTTTAGCTTCATAGGCATGTTCTACTGCCTATGTATTAACTACTGCACTAGAGCATTTTGACTACCTCATAAAACTAGAAATCCCAGAATTCTGTAACTGAACTGACATTTGATATGAGACCAGAATGCTATAGTTTTGCGGTGTGAACACACTCTAAATCTTTTAGCAATATGTGTAGTTAATACATGTTAGCATCTTTATTGGCTTCTTTTAAAAAAAAGGATGCTTGCCATAGATGCAGGCGAAACGTCAAGAGAGAATGCTTCTAGAACAGTGGTTCTCAACCTGGGGGTCGGGACCCCTGGGGGGGTCACGAGGGGGATTCAGAGGAATTGCCAAAGACCATCCAAATACCTATTTTCTGTTGGTCATAGAGGTTCCATGTGGGAAATTTGGCCCAGTTCTATCATTGGTTGGGATCAGAATGATCTTTTATTGTAGGTGAACTATAAATCCCAGCAACTAAAACTCTCAAATGCCAAGGTCTATTTTCCCCAAACTCCACCAGTGTTCATTCACAGTGGGCATGTTGAGTATTCATGGCAAGTTTTGTCCAGATCCATCATTGTTTGAGTTACAGTGCTCTCTGGATCTAGGTGAACTACAACTCAAAAACTCAAGTTCAATGCCCACCAAACCCTTCCAGTATTTTCTGTTGGTCATGGGAGTTCTGTGTGGCAAGATTGGTTCAATTCCATTATTGAAATATTGGAATATTGGAATCATAATATTGGAATATTGGAATCATAATAATATTATGATTGGGGGGTCACCACAACATGAGGAACTGTATTAAGGGGTCGCAGCATTAGAAAGGTTGAGAACCACTGTTCTAGAATTCACTGTTCATAATTCTCTTTGTTTGTAGGTAAACTATAAACCCCAGCAACTACAACTCCCAAATGACAACATCAATCCCCTGCCAACCCCACCAGTATTCAAATTGGGGCATATCACGTATTTGTGTCAAATTTGGTCCAGTGAATGAAAATACATCCTGCATATCAGATATTTATATTATGATTAATAACAGTAGCAAAATTGTAGTTGTGAAGTAGCAACAAAAATAATATTATGATTGAGGGGTCACCACAACATGAGGAACTGTATTAAGGGGTCGCAGCATTAGAAAGGTTGAGAACCACTGTTCTAGAACATGGCCACGTAGCCCCAAAAACCTACAACAACCCAGTGATTCTAACCATGAAAGCCTTCGACATAAACAATTTAGTTGTTAAAGCTAGAAAATTCTGCTAATCAGTTGGAAATGTGCAACTTTAGCAGGATAGCACATAGGAAATTTCCAGAGCTTCGTTTTTCTATGAATCTTACAGTTGGGACTCTTGCTCTTGCCACAGAACTTTTAGTATACACTTCACTATTTTATTTGAAAAATGAATCTCAAGACATTTTAGATATTTTTGTGCATATCTTTGTATATTGTGTCTTATGTCAGAATTTTAAATTTTCATTTTTCACTATATTAAAAGGACTTCAAAATTCTAATGATTGGGTTCACTTTGTAACGTTGTTAGCGAAGAGTATACTTTAGGAGTTTTTTGTTGTTTTTGTTGGACAAGTGGAGGCAAAGTTGCCTCACATTTAAGACCAAGTATAAATCTCTCTAAATGGGTTTAATAGAATATATAGGCATACTTTTACAGGGGCTCATTTTCTTAAACTACTGTCTGTCTCTCTGGCTGACCTTATGCATCCTGAGAAATGCAGACGGCATCATTAAAATTTTCAGTCTTGGATTTGATTAATGAAATTTTACGACTGTAAAATTGTCACCTCGATTTCTAAATGAAATGTTCTAATAAGGTAGACAGGTTTATTTGGGAAGTCTTTGTAGTCCTTCATCTCAGACTGCGCTTGAAGCTGCCCGCTCCCCCCACCTTTTGGCTAATCCCTCAGAAGCAGAATGTTTCAATTTTACACATTTTGTGTCAATTTTCCAGACAGAAAGTAGCCCCTAGACATTAGACATTTAGCTACGGAAAGGCGGTTTCCTTAGTTTTATTTGATTACTAGAAGTTAGATTCCTGCTGATAGTTCAGGACTGTTAGTGGTTACCTGACTGTTTGACAGAAAACATTTCCTTTCCTTTATTTAACCTTTGACTTGTGAATATAAAAGCTTTATCAGAACTGTAGTGGAAGCGCAAGTGAGGTGGAAGTCTACTTAGTGCAACAAAGCAGGGGAATGGCTTTGAATGAAAGCCTGCGCGCCTGCCTTGTGGCTCCTTGGATTAAAAGAATATGCTAAATAAGTTTTTAATTAGCAATGAAATAGCTGGTGCCGTTGTTTATGTGACAGGTAAGGGCCACTTTTAGGTAGGATCTAATGCATTTTAAAAGCGTCACACTTCCACATCCATGATTAATTTTGCAGATGTTTCTTTGCAGATTCTGGGCTTGACATGGCAGGCAGGAAATTTGTTGAGGCACTCCCTGTGCCACAAAAATGTGAGATGGTGGTAATTTAGAGCTTTCTACTTTAAATAAAAAAAGTTCAATTGAAATTAGGACATACTGATTAAGCTGGTTTTGTGACTAACTTTTATGTGTTTATTGCTAATGTAAGTCTTACCCTGACTTTGTACAGTGTTTAGCACAGAGTTTCTCAAGATCTAATTGGCTTTTTCCTGTTGCAGTTGTGGAGTTTCACTGTCTTAGCTGTGGCAAATGTCAGATTTAGTAAGAAAGTTAGACAGTGTGGGTTCAGAGGATAAACATTTCCCTTCCTCCACAGTAATTTTGAAGTTTAAAAGTATAATGGTTTGAGCACAATATTAGTTATGGAGTTTATACATTTTGATGTTGACAGCTTTGGGGTACATTTACACCAGGGGTCCTCAAACTATGGCCCGTGGGCCAGATACGGCCCTCCAAGGTCATTTACCCAGCCCTCGGTCAGGGTCAACCTAAGTCTGAAACAACCTGAAAGCACACAACAACAACAATCCTATCTCATCAGCCAAAAGCAGGCCCACACTTATTTATTTATTTATTTATTATTTAAACTTATATGCCGCCACTCCCCTGGGGCTCGGAGCGGCTTACAAGAATAGCTAAAATCTAACAAAGTTTAAAAGCAATTTAAAACAATTTAAAACAACAGTATCAAACATTAAAAGCCTGTCGGAACAGGTATGTCTTACATGCCCTGCGGAAAGCTGGTAAGTCCCGCAGGGCACGAACTTCAGGTGGCAGAGCATTCCAGACTGATGGCGCCACTGCTGTGAAGGCTCTGCGTCTGGTTGCCGTAGACGCAAGGTCTTGACACTGGGGACCTCCAATAGATCTTGGTCCTCAGAACGGAGGGATCTTTGGGGTTGGTAGGGGGTGAGACGATCCCTCAGATACATTGGCCCCAGACCATGCAAGGCCTTAAAGGTGAGTACCATCACTTTGAAAGTGATCCGGTGCTCAATTGGTAACCAATGCAGCTGTAGTAAGATTGGTGTTATGTGGCATCTCATCGGAATTCCCGCAAGAAGCCGAGCAGCTGCATTTTTGTACCAACTTGAGCTTCCGGATCACCGACAGAGGGAGGCCAATGTAGAGGGCGTTACAGTAGTCCAGTCTTGAGATGACCGTGGCCTGGATCATCGTAGCGAGGTCATCCCTGGACAGGGAGGGGGCCAGCCGTCTAGCCTGCCGAAGGTGAAAGAAAGCGGTTCTGCTCACGGCGGAGACCTGGGCCTCCATCGTCAGCAGAGGGTCCAAAAGGACTCCCAGACTCTTTACCAATGATGACGGGCATAGCGCCTCACCATCCAGGGTAGGCAGATGGATGTCCCCACTGCCCGGTCGACCCAGCCTTAGGATCTCCGTCTTTGCCGGGTTCACCCTCAACCTGTTGGCACACAGCCATCTAGTCACAAATAAGATATGTGCAGTGTGCATAGGAATTCATTCATGTTTTTTTTTCACAAATTATAATCGGCCCTCCAACAGTTTGAGGGACTGTGACCTGGCCCTCTGTTTAAAAAGTTTGAGGACCCCTGATCTACACTTTAGAATTACTGCAGTTTGATGCCACTTTCACTGCCATGTCAGAGTGCTTTCTGCTCTTGCTATCCTTTTCCAATTGTTTGAAATGTTTCCAGCACCAATGACATTATTTTCTTGTGAAGTGCATCACAAAATGTTTATTATCAGACTTTTTGGATGTTGAATATTAGATCTCTCCTTCAAAAAAAGGCAGTGCAGTGATTTCCCGGTTAGTCTTGTGTGTTTCTAAAGCTGCTGTATTCCTCTTTTCCAGCTACTTACCATGGTTTGAGGTATACTACAAACTTTTAAATACGCTGGCAGATTATTTGGCTAAAGATCAGGTAATGTTATCATATTCCTATTATTCTTCATGAAATATACATTACTTTAGCAGAAATGCTAATCTTCACCAAACTGTTATAAAGTCATGGCCCATAACTGAGGTTGCTCTGTTGTTGTTGTTTTAATTGTTTGCCAACACGTTTGCAAAATGAAAATTTCATATGCCAAATGACAGTTGCTTTGACCATATTTTATTTACACTTGCAGACATTTGGGCACTCTGAGGTTGTCCAGTTTTAACTATGCATAAATCAAGGGAACGGAAATAGGATGAGAGATATTTCTTCTGCAAACCTACTGATACACATACTTCTCTCCGTCTTAGTTCCACCTGACAGAAGAGCAACTGGACAAATTTGAGGACTGTCTTTCAAAAAGAAAATCACCAGTGCAATTATTGAATTACACAATTGGACTCCAAAATAGAAAATGCAATTCTCAAAATTCAGGAAAGTGTGATCAGTAGTATATGCAATCTATATTTTAGATAGCTAGCTTTCCTTAAAAATGGAAGTAAAACTTTATATGAGCCCTACAAAACAAATGAGTGACATTACATTTACTTCAGTAGACTTCCAAACCTGCTTATTTCCATTCCATTAAAATGGACTTATTTGTACTCTGTTAAGAATGTCCTGCTGGTAAATGTCATAAACATGTCCTGAGGATGAATTATTCCATTCCTTGCTATTTGTCTACCCTTTATGCATTCTCAGAAACACATTTATCCTTATTTTGTGCTGACATAGTATGTACAGTTTTAGACACATTTATCTGGAAGCTTCATGCCCCCACTATGGGCATGGCAATATTGTGGCATTTTCAGAGATAGAATCTATTTTCAGGCATGGAGAGACACTGATAAAAATAATAAACAGAACAGAAAGAGGGCCAATAATAATAATAATAATAATAATAATAATAATAATAATAATAATAATAATAATAATAAAAATATTATTATTATTATTATTATATTTTATTTGTACCCCACTACCATCTCCCCAAGGGACTCTGTGTGGCTTACATGAGGCCAAGCCCGCAGTACATCAATAAAACAAAGGCAGTAACAAAATAATCAATACAAAACAGTAAAATAAATCTCAAAACAAAAATAAACAATAACAATGAACAATAACATACAAGCATTTAAACATTTAACAGTTATCCATCAAATTCTATCATTTTCACAAAAAGATTCTGGATGGGTAAGAATACAACCTTTTGCTTGGAGGTAAAGACACTCAGTAGGTTTCCATGGCCAAGTGGGGATTCAAACCCTGTTCTTCAGAGTTCGAAATCAATTCTCAAGCCACTGTGTTACACTGGCTGTAATAGTAACTAATACGTAATGATATGCCAAGCCTATCTTTGTACATAGGATTTATTAAGTTCTCAACAAAATCACTTTATCTGTAGAATACCATATATACTCATGTGTAAGTCAACCTCATGTGTTAGTTAACCTCATGTGTAAGTCAGGATCAGATTTTGGGGTCAAAATTATTGATTTTTTTTTTTTGTCGTGTCAGGAGTGACTCCTAGTGTGAGAGAATTGGCCGTCTGCAAGGATGTTGCCCAGGGATGCCTGGATGATTTTTGATGTTTTTATCATCCTTGTGGGAGGCTTCTCTCATGTCCCCGCATGAGGAGCTGGAGCTGATAGAGGGAGCTCATCAGCCTCTCCCCGGATTCGGACCTGTGACCTGTCGGTCTTCAGTCCTGCCGGCACAGGGGTTTAACCCACTGCGCCACCGGGGGCTCCAAAATTATTGATTTTGATATGACTCATGGAGTCATTCTGTGGAGAGTGGAAACCACCAAAGTTGCCTTAGGAGACCATCCATTTCTACTTGCAGCCGCCATTTTTCCATCCAGGCATTTAAAAAGGGCAAGAGTGGTGCCATAGTTCAGAGAATAAAGAGGATCAGTGCTTCACTACTCTACTTGGAAATGGTTCCTTTTTGGATAAGAATGAAGGTGCAGTACTCACATTGATCTATAAATATGTTGACCCAGATTTTTTGGGTTGTTTTTTTGACTAAAATTTGTAGACTTATACATGAGTATATTATAGAAGATATCTTCATATTTTTGCCCAGAAGTGCTGAGGTAGTGTCGAAGCATCCATGATATAGTGGAGAGCAGTAAAGATCATGATTGAAGCTCTTGGAAGTCTTTCATTCACAATTAGAGTCAACTTGATTTCAAATAATGTCAAAAAGTATAAAAACCAGACACTCTCTCCCTGCATGAACAGATTCATGACTGTCTACATTAGAAATAATGGTTTAGATATAAAATAACTTTACAGTGGGGCACTGGGCTAGATGGTCAATTGCATCTGTTGCATCCTTTTGCCACAGTGCGTCTAAATTGTTAATTTCTGTTTGTTTCATCATTTTAGTGTGTTCTATTTTGCCGTGTATCTTTTTACCCTTAACTTTTGGAATATAGCACAGGCTTTTGCCACAAGACTTTAAAGCTAATCAGAATTTTAGTGTGGGATTGCTGATCTTTAATTCAGACACTAAAAGCTGGTGCCAATTGAACCCTTTTTGTGCCTGGGGATGCTTTGCATTTCCCCCTGTGGAAGGATACATGTGCTAATGTTATAGAGCAGGAACCCCACGTGGCTCCTACATTTCCTGAACAATCCACATGGATTTTCAATTCTGATGCAGGATTTGGTATTCTTTTCTTTCATGGGCAATGTTCCAAAGCACTCCCATGGTAGAAGAATGTTGCGTATGGATTGGCTCTTTGGCAATCATGTGTTGAGCACACTCATGGGATGACTTCCATGTGGTTAACACTTTGTAAGATGATATTGATAAGCACTCAAAAGCATAAGGCCTTGCATGGTAGAAAACTTGACGTCTTTTTGGAATTTGCTCTAAGAGTCCCATGATTTTCTGTTAAGCTTTATGGCAAAGAGGAAAGTTATGTTATAGTGTGCTATTCTTTTACAAAGAATTGGGATTCACATGATGCTTCAGTGCTCCCTGGTCCTGTGTGAGGAATAAAGGCTTTATGGTAAGTGTTTTTGTTTCCCACACAAGACATTTACCATACCTACACAAAGCCATAACAATAGATGCTTCATTAGAATGTATACTTACAGATCAGGAAAGCGAGTACAAAGTACAAGACGTCACCAGCACGCTTAATATGTTTTATCATGAGATGCTTCATCAGAAAATGGAAGTTTGGTTCAAATAAGGATGAAAAAAAAGAACAAAAACCCAGATAAAGGGAATGAAAGCAGACAATAAGGGATGCAAAAAGGAATTTTGAACAGCATGTTCATTAATAAAGAATTATTTGAATACACTAGAAGCAGGAAGCCACTTAGGAAAGTGGTTGGACTGATAAAGTAAAGTAGTGCAAAAGTAGGACATGGAGATTGTGGAGAAGAATATTTTTACCCGTCTTCGCTGTATAAGATACAGCAATTATCTGAACATGAACTGGTATTTTCAGAAAATAAGAGATTAAGTTTAAAACTTTAAGGACTAACTGCTAAATAAAAATACCCAGTTCCACTAAACCTGGTATTGGATGGGCTAGCTTACTCTTTTCCTAAGGAGTATAAAAGGTGTAAAGGTTTCCCCTTGACGTTAAGTCTAGTCATGTCTGGGTGGTAGTGCTCATCTCCATTTCTAAGCCGAAGAACTGGCATTGTCCGTAGACGCCTCCAAGGTCATGTGGTTGCATGACTGCATGGAGCACTGTTACCTTCCTGCCAGAGTGGTACTTATTGATCTACTCACATTTGCATGTTTTCGAACTGCTAGATTGGCAGAAGCTTGGCCTAAAAGTGGTAGCTCACCCCACTTCCTGGATTTGAACTGCTGACCTTTTGGTCAGCAAGTTCAGCAGCTCAGTAGTTTAACCTGGTGTGTCACCGGGGGCTCCTCCTAAGGATTATAGAGAAGCTTCACTGGGAATCAGCTTCCTTGGAATTACGGGTTACATTTTAATTTCCCCCCTCTTTTACCAGATTCTAGCATTATTTCAATTGAGCAGTTTTTAATAGTAAAATTTGCTGGTAGTGCTATAATTTGGTACAGATGGGTCTTGTTCAGCATGTTTTATATTGATGAAAACTGCTTAAAACATCACACATCTTGGCTTATAAACTAGGATGACCAGAAAACTGCCATTTTAAATGGATCTATTACAGAAAAAGTGATGACATATAATGTAAATCTTAAAAATGTCGACAATATGAAATGTAACACATGGTGATTAGCTGAATGTAGGAATGGATTGTATTATGATTGGCATATATTTATTTATTTATTTGCATGCTGATCTCTGAAAATGCTTTCCTAAATTGCAATGGACACAGTCCTTAGAGATCTGCTTCAAACATGAAGGTCTTGTGATTCTGAGCCTATCCAAGCTGCTGGATAGCGAATGTGATTGATATGTATAAGGTTATTAATTGCTTTTTCAAAAACTTACTTTGAATAGGAAGATGACTTGAATGATTTGTTAGACACCTGGTATCAACATCCTGTTCCAGAAGCCAACACCCCTATCAGCTTAAATTTGGTAGGTATGGAGCATCTTAGTTAGAATGCATGGATAAAGGCTGCACACACACATATATACACACACTAACATTGATGGTAGTGATCTGGTATTTTGTTTGGCTGGTTGACCCATCAACTTGGTTTTCTTATTCTTAGCAACTAATGGTCTATTTATGTAAACTGTATTCCGATGATGTGAAGGCTTGAGTTCTGTGGTGGTTTGTGTTCAAGGTTTAGACCTCCATTTTGAAATATTTTTATTTTCCTTCTGTTGTGCAGCCCATAAAAATACAAACAAATAACATTGGTGAGAATTACCCGCAAGCCAGCAATCATTATTCCATCCAGATGGGATACTGACACCTACTTTGGCTAGATCTACACTACTATATAATCCAGTATCTGATCCCAGATTATCTTCTTTGAACTGGATTATATGAGTCTAAACTGACATATAACCCAGTTCAAAGCAGAAAAATCTGGGATCAAATACTGAATTATATGGCAGTGTAGATGAGCCTTTATTGTATATGAATGAATATATTCTTGAAATAAAATTGTTTTCTCTACAGTTCTATCATACTTACTGAGAAGTATGTGAAGAGCTGCCAGTCTGGAATGCCTTGTTTGACAGCACCCAGTCAGTCAAGAATAAGTTAGTTTGGTACTATAGTAAAAACAGATTGTTTGTGCCACATATTGCTCGAGATTTGGATGCCAACATCTTTTTCCTGTTCATTCATCACCATCAATATTCTAGAAAGCGTTCTGAAAATGACAGTTACTGTTAACCGTCCATTTGACTGTGTGATTCAGAAGCTGGATAGAACAAACTATTTATTCATTTGAAGAATTCAATCTAGAAAGAATTTAGAAATACCACATTCATATTGTGCAGAATCTAAATGTTAAGTATGTAATGGTTAACCATAATTTGTTGCTGATATAAAAGGGCGCGCGGGGGGGGGGGGGGGATCAGGTTGCTGGCATAGAATCACCACTTGTTAGTTCTTTTAATTAAAATAAATATTAACAAACCACCAGAAGTGACTTGCTGTTTCTTAAGTCACCCCTGACATAAAAAAGCAAATATTAATGCAGCCTCCTAGGCACACTGAAAATTTAACACATAATCTTGCATTGGTGAGGAAAGGAAAAAAAAAACAGGATTCGGCCGGAATCATTAGAATGTTGTGTGGTTTCCAGGGTTGTATGACCGTGTTCTAGCAGCATTTCCTCCTGGAATTACAGAGGATCCTCTGAAGATGCCAACCACAGATGCAGGAGAAAATACTGCTAGAACACAGCCATAAATCTTGGAAACCACAAAACACCTCAATATAGAATATATTTTAGAAAATATTCTAAAATTGTGGTTTAATGCTTGATCCTATTTGCAGCCTCTTGATCCCTCCAAACTCCCAGATTCCTCTTTGTCTGGCTGAAAAGAGGGTGATTTCCCTTTCCAGAAAACCTCCCAAAGCAACTATTTATCTTTTAGATGGTTTATCTAGCGCTACTAGTCCTTAATCCCTCCTTACTATCTAACATTTTTGTTAATAATAATAATAATAATAATAATAATAATAATAATAATAATAAACAACTTTATGTATACCCCGCCACCATCTCCCCAACGGGGACTCGGGGTGGCTTACATGTGGCCAAGCCCATACAGCAAATTACAATAAAATAAGATACAAGTTACAATAAAATAACATCGCAGAAAAATACAGAATATATGACTACAATGGAAAAATAATAATAAAAGCAAAAACAAAAAACAACTAATAAACCAAACATTTATCCAATGTTCTGCCAGCCTGTTTATGTTGGATAAGCAAGACTCTACGGTACTTGAATTTTCTGTTATGTTTTGGGAGTTTTCTGCGGGAGGGGGAGCATTTTGGCAGTCTTTATGGCATTTGGGGAATCTTGGGGCATGCACAACCTACCAAAATTGCCCTCTTCATATATATGCCCGCCCACCATATACTTCCCAGCTATTTGCCATTCCAACATATTAGTATGATATTTTCCTTTCCTCTTTGCCATTCTTGGTGCTGTTCCTTTGTAGAAGGACAAAGTCTGCATTGTTGTTGCGAATTGACCAAGTCATTGTTGATGTTGTTGTTGTTACTATTATTATTATTATGAATAAAATATATCAAATATTGTAGAAACACGTTATTTCAGAAAAAGGCAGCATCATAGGGTAAATACAAACCCTCTGGTTTCCCCAAATGAACTTGTCCAATTTTCTTTCTCATATTGAAAAAGAACAACGAGGTGTTTTTTGCAAGTGAGCAAGTTTTGAAAAATCAACCAGGTTTAATAGCGGTGAGTTTAAAATGATCTGACTGCTCCCAGGCAGTCCCCTTGGAAAGAATTAATTGCCTGCCAAATGATGTCTCTGTTGATTGCAAGTGATTCATAAACGTCCCTTGAGAAATTACTATGTTTTAACTCTGGTCTGAATGAGGCAGTCTTCTTGAATATATTTTCTGTTTAGACTAAACCAAACTTCTGTGTGCAAATTGTATAATAAACGTTTAAAAATACAATCCTTTATTCTTATGGTGTTTTGATACAAAAACAAACCAAAGAGATTACATTTTCATCTGTTTCAACTATTAATGTGTTTCTGAGAGCACCTCTTTGAAGAAGAGGAATCTAAAATGTATTATTTTCACTGAATAAATTTACGTGTGGCCGTGTTGTCAGCATGCGAACGGTGCCTTACCATCACATATTCATTGATATTTCAGTGAAATGTGTTGTTTTCATCATAATCACTCAGGAAGCTGAATATTTCACTTTTAAATGACTGAGTCTAGCTGTCTGAAAAAAGTTGAATAATTGGCCACTAAAATAAAAAATGAGGGCAGCACTCTGCCAAAAAATGGCAAAGGATTAATAGGAAACCCAAAAGTACAAAAAACCCTAAAGGCTTCAGACTGAATAGTGAAAATATTTGATACCTCTTGTTCTTATTGCCAGCAGTACAGATAGTGTCCGTTTTGAACATGTAAATAGTCCTGCAGTCTGTTTGCATCAGTGACATGTGCTATTAAAATAAACATTATGGTTTTTAACAGTGGCTTCCCATACTCATTCAGTGTATTATTTCTTGAATGGTTTGATCCACAATTTTAAAAAAGAATTGTATAAACAGAAAATATTTTCAAAATCTTGGGATGGTTTCTTGGTGACATATTTTCTGGGGCGTTAGATCTTTTTTGTTCTGTCATTCCTTCCATGTATTACAGAATAACTACTTGATTTACTTAACTACTTTGGCTAATTATTTTCCTTTCAATATTTGCTTGTGTTTTATAGCTTATCCGCCCTGAGTCCCCTTGGGAAGATAAATAAAGTATTATTATTAGTAGTAGTATTAATATTAGTATTATATTCAGGGATTAACACATTCTTATGGTGCAGTATGTTTCATTTTTTATGTTTACATAACAGGACTGTATAATAATAGGATAATAATGATCTACCAGCACAAACACCTGACTTTAACTATAGGTTTAAGTAACCCAAACAATTTTCATTGACTTCAAAATACTATATCTATTGAGCTCTCTTAGCTTAAATTAATTCCTCTATTGCAAAAATGGGTTTGTTGAATAGTGTCTCAATTTAATTTATAGGTTGTTGCAAATGACACATATTTATCTGAGATTAAGTCCCATTGAAGTGTATTTCCGTAGGGTGCTGTTGTCAATTGGATATATACTCATCCTCCAGCTGAAAATATGGCCGCAGGGGGACTCACCACATATAAGTAAGGCAGTAGATAAATCTTTGGAAAACATCTCTATGCAGTGAAGGCATCAGTATAGTTTTTTTTTTTGTCATGTCAGGAGAGACTTGAGAAACTGCAAGTCGCTTCTGGTGTGAGAGAATTGGCCGTCTGCAAGGACGTTGCCCAGGGGATGCCCGGATGATTTGATGTTTTATCATCCTTGTGGGAGGCTTCTCTCATGTCTCCGTATGAGTAGCTGGAGCTGGAGCTGGCAGAGGGAGCTCATCCGCCTCTCCCCGGATTCGAACCTGTGACCTGTCGGTCTTCAGTCCTGCCGGCACAGGGGTTTAACCCACTGCGCCACCGGGGGCCCCATGTCAGTATAGTTACATTAATGGATTAATAGGTTAGGATTGCAGTGTTATTTCACCATAATAGCAAACCAAATATGAAAAACAGAAAAATCTGAGAAGTGTTTCAAGAGCATAGACTATAGGCAACTCAGCTATTCCCTTCTGATGTTTTGTTCTCCCCATTCAAGCACTGTAGGTAGCGCAACAGCCCTGAGAGAATCACAACATTGTACAATAAGACTGAAACAAAACTGGAACTAAACTGCTTCTATGGCACTATAATGGTATGATGTGATAAGGTCAATCAGCCCTACCAGCTTATATGTAGTGAGTCTACCTGCAGATCCTTTCTGTAGATCGGGCTAAATTATGCACACATAATTCCCTGTAAACTAATATATGAAAAAGTTTGTCTAGCCTTAAAAGTTTCTCATAAATATTTCATATTATGAAATTTGTATGCTAAAGAGGCAGAAACTGGAAGCCCAAAGGCCAAATTTGTTCCTGTGAGAGTACCAGCAGCCCCCACTTTCAGCTGCTAACTAGAAAGATATGAGATACTGGAGATGCTAGAAAGATTTTAGCAACATGCTTTGACTCTTCTGAAAATTAGTTGCTGAATTGTAGAAGAAGATGAAGGTATAACCCTTTCCTTCTCATCTTCAAGCTGTTCTCATTACCACTGTCCCTTGCTAATTTAACCGTTACAAAAGGACCTTGATACAAAGTTTTATGCTGATGATAATGTAAAGGCATGTGCTTCCTAATAAATAAGCACAGTCTTAGAAATTGCAAAACTAAATGATTGTAATTAATTTTTAATTTTCGGAAAGCAGCCTTTTTTAGCTTTCAGGACTGTTGAATTATATCACAATATTTCTTCTTTTATAATTTTTCCATTGCTGCAAAAAAAAAAGTTAGCAAACTTTCATCAACAGCAGTTTGTTTAGAGTGGTAATTGTGCATTTTTGTCTCTCACCTTCCTCCTTTACCAGCATTCATACTTCATTACTCCTGATTTAACTGGCCTTCCATCAGTACCTGAAAGTGTAAGTTTTTGAAGTATTTGTGATATTTCTGTGGGATCATCTAGCAAATATTCACAGAATTTATATGGGTGGGTAGGACCTTAGAGTTAACTTGCCTGTCTTTATGGTTTTATCCTCTGATCTACAAATCCCAGCACAAAAATCTTGTGCAGATTATCGACTTCCATGAAGATGGGGAATTTTGTAAACAATAGTGTATATTGCAATTGAACTTAAAGTAAACTTTTGCTCACAATGACTTCCAAGAGCAATGGGGCAAATGTGCATGTGTATACTTTAACAATTGTATAGAGAAAAATGTGTGGGAGAGCAACTTTACTACATATATAAAACCTGATTACAGGTGGTCCTCCACTTTTGGCTCAGTTTACATGTTCGAACGTATCATCCGCTGGGTTCCACCTAGGCCCCTAGATCATCTGAGGAGACCCTGCTCATTTCCCCCCCATTGTCGCAATCGCGTCTGGCGGGGACAAGGGACAGGGCCTTTTCTGTGGTGGCCCCCTGGCTATGGAACTCCCTCCCYAGTGAAATTAGATCTGCTGCATCCCTCTTAAAAAGTAAAATCCTGGCTATGGGATCAGGCCTTTGGAGAATAGYRTGACCTACTGACGTGTTGACTTATTTAGAACTGATGGACTGCCCTTGGATAATGATTTAAATRGGTGACCGCTGACTATTTGTTGTCTGTTTTTATATTGTTTTTATATTGTTTATACGYTTTTATACWGTTTATACTGTWTTYTTGTTATTATTARYCTGCTGTTAATTGTATATGTATTTATTTATTTATTTACTTTATTTATATACCGCTTTTCTCAGCCCTCAGGCAACTATTTATGTTTTGATGTGGGCACCATGGGGTGCTGCTTTSTTAGCCYTCCTGAGTCCCTCTGCYTAGGTTGAGAAAGGACGGGATATAAAAGCCCTAAATAAATAATAATAKATTTTGTGGATTTCACACTTGCAGATTTTGTTATTAATGGGTTTGAAATGCTACTGCCTCTTGAAGTTATTTATTTATTTTATTTWCAGTATTTGTATACCGCTTTTCTCACCCCYAAGGGGACTCAAAAAGRGGTTTCCACATAGGTAATGGCAAAATTCAATGCCAGCACAAACAATTACKATTATACAATTACAGTTAGACATAAATCAAATTAAAATACATCCATAAACAGTAGAACAATAATTAAAACAGTAAAACAGTCGCATCCGTCGAATCGCCGTTCCAGTCATTGTCTTTCCGAAATGCTGCATAGATTTGTTTCTACTGCCCGAAGTCCTGGTCCCAAAACCATGTTTTTAATTTCTTCCTAAAAGCCAGGAGAGAGGGAGTGGATCTTACCTCATGACTTTTATTGTGTATGTGTATGTTATTGTTGTTGGCGGCCTTGGCCATTGTAAGCCGCATTGAGTCCTTCGGGAGATTTTGCGGGGTATAAATAAAGTTAATAATAATAATAAATAATTTGGGAGAGCGTTCCATAGGCAGGGGGGCCACAGCCGAGAAGGCCCTGTCTCTTGTCCCCATCAGGCGCATTTGCGCTGTTGACGGGAGCGAGAGCAGGGCCTCCCCGGATGATCTTAGATTACGAGGTGGGACATAGGGGCAGATGCGTTCGGACAAGTAAGATGGGCCAGAACCGTATAGAGCTTTATAGATCAAAACCAGCACTTTGAATTGAGCTCGGAGATGGACCGGCAGTCCCTTTTATGGCCCAAGTGAAAGAAGAACACATGCCAACTTCTGCACGGTATGTGAAGTAATGTGTGGGAATGGCTCCTCCTCCATCCCTGCAGGACCGCAGCAGTGGCACCCTCATTCTACCCTCCCCACCAGAAATATTCATGTTTTTCCCATTTCAGTGGTGAAGCTAAGCCCCTGTTATTGTTTCATTTTCCAAATGATAACGATACCACAAATTCCACTCAAAGATGTTTATTGTGTAAACCTATTTCTCTAACAAGATCAATTTTGCCTTTTTTTCATCTCAGAAGAAAAAGATAGTTATAAGCTTGTACACCACTCAATTACCACTATTAATGTGTTAACAGACCTTATTCTTTATTAAACAGAGAAATCTTACTGAATATTTTGTTGCTGTGGATGTGAACAATATGCTGCAACTTTATGCCAGCATGTTACATGAGAGGCGCATCATTATTACCTCCAGCAAACTAAGCACTGTGAGTACTTCACACATCTCCTTTCAAGTAGAATATATTGAGCATTGCACAAAAAGGGCCTGCAGACCTCTGCAGATTTAAATATGCTCTGTATGTACTTATGAGACAATATCTACATACTTTTTTAAAAAAAGGTACGGTTTTAATCTGACTCTTGAAGCACAAAAGTCTGATTTATATAAGGCCTACTCAGATACATTAAGTCAGGTTAATTATTTTTTTATACAGGGATGAGAGTTCTCTAACTCTCTAGAGTTCGCTTCAGTACCTTCCACCCTATAAAGAATTCTTAAGGGCTATTATAAGATCTTTATTATTCACTTGTGGCTTATTCCATTGGAGGTACTTGAAAGAAATCAAGGGGCTTTTATAATAGCTGCTATCCTAAACCTGGTAATAGCTGAATTCATCTTGGTTGCAGAGTAGTGCTTTGGGAGCACATACTGTAATAGCTCTGATTTTGGAGCAGCTCTTCAGGCTGATAATAACTTACTATTCCAAATAGCCCTTTTTATTACACGTTTTATGCTTCTGCGTATACCGAAATGGCTTTCTTATGTCATTGCAGATGGTACCGAGATAAAGAGTGCTGTGTTTAGTTGCTATAGCCATGCTTACATCTTTTGATAGTTCTTTTTGTTTTAGCTTTTCCCATGTGGTGTAATTTAGAAGTCTAAATCCATCTCAGTTAAGTTCCAAGTAACATTGCTTTCAAGCCAAAAGGCATAATTGTGTGTGCATAGTGTTGCTGTTTAGACTTAAAGACATTAATATATTACTGAAGACTGCCTCAAATAATTTGCTTAACATACTTTGCCATCTAGAATAGGCACTTGAAACTCCTAGCTTTATTTCATGGTCAACAAATAATATAAGTAGGTGAGCATATAGGGGAATAAATTCTTATAATTTTATAAAGGATACTACTCCCCCCTTTGCTTCTGAGCTTCATATCTTCTTTCAGCTTCATCTTTCTTTCAGCCGTATTGTTTTTATATTGCTTTCAGTTGTGTTGTTATTTGTTTTATCTGATGTTTTAATTGGTTAAAGTGTTTTACATGTGTGTTTTAATTGTAATCTTGGGCATGTCCCTTGTAAGCTGCCCCGAGTCCTCTAGGGGGAGATGGTTGGCGGGGTATAAAAATAAAATAATAATAGTAATAATAATAATAATAATAATAATAATAATAATAATAATTATTATTATTATTATCTTAAGGATAAAACCACATTACAAAGAAAAAAGTAACCTTTATCATTAAATTAAACCATGTTACAACTTAGAAAATATTTAGGATAAATGAACATTTAAAAATGGTCTTGTTTCTAGAGAAAATAAAAAGAAGTATCGTATATACTCAAGTATAAGCCGACCCGAATATAAGCCGAGGCACTTAATTTTATCAGAAAAAACTGGGGAAACATATTGATTTGATTATAAGCCAAGGATGGGAATTGCAGCATCTACTGGTAAATTTCAAAATAAAAATAGATACCAATAAAATTACATTAATTGAGGTATCAGTAGAGTAAATACTTACATAAAACTGTAATTTAAGACTACCCAACTCTGATTAAACCATTATTCTAACCTTCAGTGTAAATGTGCTTACGTATCCTTCCAGTAATAATAAAGAGAGTGAAATAATAAATGTAATAATAATAATAATAATGGAAATGTAATAATACCAGTAATAATATCGTAAAATAATAAATGTAATAATAATAATAATAATAATAATAATAAAGAGAGTAAAATAATAAATGTAATATTAATATTAATAATAATAATAGAGTAAAATTATAAATGTAATAATAATAAGAGTAAAATTATAAATGTAATAAAAATAATAACAGAGGAAAATAATAAATAACCTTGACTCAAGTATACGCCGAGGGAGACTTTTTCAGCCTAAAAAAAGGGCTGAAAAACTAGGCTTATACTTGAGCATATACCGTAATAATGAAGATGTTGAAGAGGAGGAGCACCTTTGCTTGTTGTGAATCGGGGGAAGACTATAAGTGTACATCAAGCTTTCAGCCTCTAAAGATTTTCTCTTTTCTTTTCTTTTCTTTTCTTTTCTTGACACTATGTATATGCAGTCCCCAGGTTATGAACAAAATAGGTTATGTCAGTTTGTTCTTATGGCAAGGCAAAGTTTATTGATTAGTTCACTGACCGTATCAACATTAAAAGGTTTGTTCTTATGCTGAATTTGTTGGAGATACATTTCTAAAGTGTAACCACATCCAATTTTTAAAAGTTTTGAATAGCACAGGGTAGGGTTAACACATCTCTAACATTTGTTTTGATATCTGTGCCCCTGTTCGAAAGATTTTGCCTCACTTTCTGTCGCTGCCACACTTGGATATTGAGACTTTTGGGTTGCTGGAATAAAAGATAGGTGATAAAGTTTCAGTGGAGACCCCTTTTCCCATGATACCTCTTTAGAGGAGTGAATTTCCCTTCCTGAGGGTTGATTTCCTCTTACTTCTATCGTACCCTTGTTTGTAACTAGGAGGTGTATCTCAGTCAAATGTTTATAATTCAGGAACTCCTTGTATTCTGAAACTATACTTTAAAAAAGAAATATGCCAGCACCTTTAAGACAGACTGTTTTTTATTTTAGCAGGAGTGTTCATTCTAATTTGTTTATAAGATCCACTTCTTCAATGGTTTATCAACTTATTATCGGCCTCTGAGACGTATCTCCTTCCTGCTACACTTTCAAAACACAGATCATTATTCTGTATGACAGTAATCCCATTTTCAGTTTGATAGCTCAGACATTTTCAAAATCCTTCTGTGGATTGTACAAGAAAAGATACACGTAAAGGAATGTGTCTAATCATCGGAAGTGGCAAAAGCAGATTTGCATTTTTGCCTAACCTGTGTGTATACTAGGACTGCAGTCATGTACAAGCTACTCTAAATCCATTTAAATTGCTGGCATGTAACTTTGTTCGGTTTGACTTTCTTGAAGTGTAATGTGAGCAGTATCTCCTTTTTCTGTCAGTCCAGAGAGAAAAGTGGGGTACAAATGAATATAATAAAGAAATGAATTAAAAGTGGAATGCCAACATGGGGAACTTCATTCGAACTTGAATTGCATATATCCACAGTATATATAGAGTGGGGTAAAACTTAGTGTAGAGCTAAGTTATTCTTCTAGAAATTGGATTTCTAGAAGAATAAAGGCACTGTCTAACTTTTCATTTGATTAGGCATTCTTAGGGTGCTAAGGATTTTTTGTGGCACCTTCACTTAAAGCACTGGCTCTTAAGTTATCTGATCTGAGGTCTGATGAAGGTTTTGTTCCAGGTGCCAGTAGCCAGGACCATATTTGTAGCCAGGTCTTTCCTGGCAACCTTCCAGGAACTAGCAGTTGATGCCCATGAACTGACACTGGTCTGTGGACCACCACTTTAAGTAGCATTCATTTTGGCAATCTCAATAGGTTGATTTCAGATTGCATACCTATATAGAGTTAAAAAAAGGAAGGAATCACGTGGCACCTTTTGGATCAGTTAATCTTTTCCAGCACAAACTGTCACAGAGTCCAATCCTTTTCTTCAGAAGCATGCCTAGATATTTTCCAGAGGTAATATATCTGCTATGAGAAATGTCACCGTGCAGGTACTGTTCCTGTTTCCAAAGCGAGTATCTATGAAAGTGATATAATACAGGGTGAGGCAGTATAACTTCCTTTTTTAAAACTTAATAAAACCCATTGTATGAATCAGAAAAAAAATAATGTAGGCACATACCTAACGTTTTGTTTTACATAGTTTTGAAGATCAAATTAGGTAGGTGACGTTCCCCATTCTCCATACACTGAGTAAACCGATTTCTGGTGTTTGTCATGACTCTTGCCAGCATAGCAGGCGTTATATTGGCAATTTCTTCCTGGATGTTGGTCTTCAAATCTTGTAGGGTTCTTGAACGATTCACATAAACACGGGATTAAAAAAAAAAAACCATAGAAAAAATCGCAAGGGACCAAATGTGGAGAGCGGGCCGGCCACTCCAAATCCGCTTGAAAAGTAGGCCTCAACGGCAAAAGCACGCTCCTCACTATTCCAACGCATGACGGCGACTGAACTGTGTCAGGACAAAACTTTATACTCCTGCCTCTCGAACGAGACCACTAGCGCTCCGCTATGTCTTCAACCGACTGAATGGCGCACATTTTAAAAAAGGAAGTTATGCTGCCTCACTCTGTACAACTAAAGTTTCAGAAGGCACAGCCACAATTTTGACTCTTCTCTAACCATGTCTGAAGATGATAAGTCAAACTCTTCATTGCATTTAGGTCCTCACTAAAATCTTTCAAAAGAGCCAATCAGGGTAAGGTCAGGAAGGAAATCAGTCGGCTCCGTAGCATTAATGCACTTTAACTGGCACAATTCAATGATACAAAATCTTGTTTTTTGTAGTTTGGAGAGGCATCAGAATTTTTTGGAAGAGAAGACTAAAGATCTCGTAAAACTACAACTCCCATGATTCCATAGCATTGAGCCACAGTTGATAAAGTGGAGAAAAACTGCATTAGCTTACTGGGTGAAGAATCTTTCAACTTCGTGGGTTGTATTTTCAAAGCGTGAGTCAGCATTGGGTTGGAAAGGTTACAGATGCTGGACATGGCAAAAAGAACGGATAACATAAGAAGACTTTGACAGTCCATTAGGGGATCTGGATTGGATAGCAAATACTCATGAATCTCTTCTCAAAGTCAGCTGGAAGGCGAGTGTGACAAAGGATAATGTAATTATGGCAATTCATGGAGGGTGCTTTGCATTCCCTAGCATCTGGTCAGTAGCTCTGCTGCCTTTAAGTGCCCAAAGTCCCTTGGCAACTATAAATAAAACAATAAGTCTGTCACAGGCAGAGAAATTGATAGAAACAAACATGAATTATATGCAGACATGGAGTAGTTACAAAGCATCATAATTTAATAATGGACATAGCCATAATTGATTCACTGAGGATACGGATAGTC